CACGGAATGCTCTTGCACTTTCGGGGGGATTTAAACATCCCCCCGAAATTTTTTTCTACTTTTAGCATTTTTGTGCACACGTGGGGACTGGCCCACGTGTGCACAAACCTCCCCCTCCCCCCCAAGTGCCCCCGGAGCGCTGATTTAGCGATCCGCACTCCGGGGGCAACTTGGCTATTAGATATATAGATGAGTTTTGTTCTAAAGAATTGCAACTGTGGTAAGTTTGTGGAAGAGATTTTTGCCAAGTCCTGCCACCGGGTGCTCTATCACTGAGCTGTGGTCCTTTTGCTTTTGTGTAGCCATTACCAGGGCTATTTTTGGGCAGGAACGCACAGGAACGGCGTTCCGGCTGGCTCCTGAGTTGGCCACACCCAGCAGGAACTCGTTAGCATAATAGGCCACACCCAACAGCAGAAACTCATTAGGATTGGCTACATTAGGGGTGTGTGGCCTAATATGCAAAGAAGTTCCTGCTACAAAAAAAAGCTCTGGGTTTTGACAACAAACAAGGTAAACAGAATAAGAAGCAAAAGGTGGGTGTGGCTGGATGACCACACTTCTGGTAACATGGGGATGTGGCCTAATATGCTAATTAGCTGTGCTGTCAGGGGTGTGGCCTAATATGCTAATGAGTTTCTGCTTTTGGGTGTGGCCTATTATGCTAATGAGTTCCTGCTGGGCTTTTTCTACAAAAAAAGCCCTGCCATTACAGTGAGAAGGAAATCAGAGGGCCTATGTGTATGCATGTGCCCAGTATTCCTGCATGCAACCCTGAATCAGGGTTTAAAAATCCTGTGTATGTGTGTGTATTTATCGCTGTAGAGCAGCCAAGAACACAGGGAGGAAAGGTATTGTTGTCAAGATTCAGCCATATGGCCACTGAAACATATACAGGTCTGTAGGGTCTGTTATTTTTTTAAAAGAACCTTAGCTTACTTATATGCGCGTTCCTGGCTCATGCACTTACCACTCTTCCAAACTATAGAGCACTACTGAAAAACTGGCAATGTTTTACTTGTAGTCTTAGGCAAGTAATACTGGAATCCTCACTCCCTCCCCCCATAGCACAGCCATTTATCATTAATTACCTCTAGCAATTTAAGATTTTGTCTTTCCCCCCTTAAACTTCCACTGAAATTACTCCTTACACTTTAAAACGAAAATAAGCTAGAACATCTAGTTTAACAATTGGGGATTATATATTCAGCTTGCTTTGCTGAGCTCTGAGTCATTGTGTGTGAGCATTTTGACCTTTGGGTCATTAAATGTTCAGTTGAGCTATGTTGGCTCGACTTTTGACGTGGAACCAGTGCAGTTACTTTACATATGCTTTGTGTGGAGATCACACTCGGTGGGCTCAGTGCCTGAGCACATCTACAATTTTGGAAATATCATGCAAATGTCCTCTCCCTTCAGAAGCCCAAAGAGGGGTAGTTACACCTTTCCACTCAGGGCTGAACTAGATGTCCTGGGGATGCCGCCCCCATTTTAAAGTCTTGCACAGGTGCTTTTTTAAAAGCTTGTGTTCCCCCCCACCCTCATCTTTTCAAGTGCTGAATCAGTGGCCATAGCATTAGCAGCATTAGAGCATTAGACAACCTGTTCTCAGAGCTGCTTTCTCTGAGGGCTAGCTTTCTCAAAAGGCAAAGAAAAAAAGAAATTATGGCCGTCAATCTGTTCCAACCTTTTCTTTCTCCAGTTTTGCCATTTTTCCGACTGTCTGTTGGTCTTCACTAATCTTCCGCAGCCCCTGGGCACCTGTGGAGAAACAGACAACTTTGAAAAGTGTAGTCGGTGCAGCTATTTCCTGTGTTTGGGAGAGCAGCACACAGCTGAGACTTGCACCCACTCTGTGAGGTTTGTGGAACAGATATGGTGCAACTGACCCACCAGTTTCTGTGCCCCTGTATGGAAGAGAGTCCTCTCCTCCTCTGAAGCTATGGCTGAGAGATCAGATATCTCAATTGTACTGGTGTGGTTAGTCCAGTTCCCACTAGTTAGCAGAGTGCTTAAATAAAGCTACAAACGCAGTAGCGTTACTTTACCAGGTTACTCAGCTCACAAAGCCACACAGAGCCACGTTGCAAGTTTATCAGAGAAATACTTCTCTCTTTGAGAAGTACACTTCTGGTAGGGTTGCCAAGTGAATTTTACTCACCGGCGGGGGAGCCTCGCCGTGCTCCAGGAGTCGTCCCTTGTTATGCGCGCACGCAAAGCGCGCACGCGCCGCCAGCATGTCACCAGAAGTGATGCACGACGTTGATCACGTTGAGGCTGTGGCCCCGATCGTCGGAGGGAAAACCATAGAGTTTTCCCTCCGCCGATCGAGGCCACGCCCCCAACGTGATCGATGTGGTTGCGAAAGAGTGCTAACTTGCTAGCTAAGGATGGAAGCAGATGGCGAGAGGGCCATCTGCCTCATGGTGCCAAGAGAGGACTGCATGTCGTCCTTCTTGGTGTGTGCAGGGAGAGAGGTCATCATTATTTGAGAAGAATGAATGGAAGGAAATTGTCCCTGACAACAGAGTCTACATATCAAAGGGGACTGTGGCAGAAGAGTAAACACAGGAAGGAAAGGTCAGTGTGCCTATCTAGCTATCTACTCTCTCTTGCCATAAAGTCTGGAGGCTGAGGGAGGGATATGGCACCTGGGACTTCCAACAAATTGCTTAGTATATCCTCTTTTAAAATATAAGAACGTAAGAGAAGCCATTTTGGATCAGGCCAATGGCCCATCCAGTCCAACACTCTGTGTCAGAGGGCGTGGAGGGAGTGGTTTGGCTCTGGTGTGATTAAAAAATTCTCCTATTAAGTCCATTTGTTTGAAATATGCTTTCCTCTCCCCCTTTCCCCCGCTTTTTGTCTTTTTAAAGAGAAATGTCTACATGATCGCAGCAGGGGTCATAGGAGGAATCTACCTTGTTAGCATCGTTGTCCTTTTCCTAGGAGTGAAAGAAAAAGACGGTACGTATGTTTAATCCTTGTAAAAATTTAACTATGAGACATACAATTTTAAAACCTGACATCATTTTATGATGCATATTCCACTCCTTATAGATCCTTATGCCTTAAGTTCAGACAAAACAGTTCCTTTCTTTAAGGGACTCAGACTCACAATGAAGTATGGACCATACATGAAACTTACAGCATCATTTCTTCTGATTTCAACAGCAGTTCAGGTAATTGTAGTTCGTAAGAGGACTTGCCTCAACTCAGCTTATATCCATACTATGGGAGAACCCCCATCTATGACGATATGAACACTTCAGAGCATACAAGTGGCCGTGAACCACTGGCGTTAAGGTAGAAATTGTCACTTTCTCCTTAAAGTATACTCGTAGTGAGATAACGTGGCAACCCTATCCACTTGGGATCACATCCCAAGTCTGTATGAAGATGGGTATGCCACATGTTTCCATAGGGGATTTTGCTGATAGTTTTATGTTTTATTCCATGCGTGGTGGTAAGCTATTATTTTATTTATATCCCACCCTTCTCTCTGAGGTTACCCAAAATGACTCACAGCAACAACAACATTACAGTATAAATCCCCCCCCATAGATCTTTAGCTAGTCCAGATTCCACATCTGGCTCTTCCAAGGGTGTTGACTGAGCCGCAGACCAAAACCCAAAACCCTTCAGTTCATGCTTCCAGCCATACCCAACCCTGTAGGCAGCAAGGAGTCAATAACACAGCCAAGGTGGTGAGCAGCTGGAGTGGTGTTCCCCCAACAATTCCCCTTCCGATGCTGCTTCCATCGACAGGAGGTTGGATCAAAAGTACTGTGAGCAGATCAAAACTCAGAGAACAGGTAATTCCTACCTACTGCGGCAATAACCTCCTGAAATTCTGCTCATGGAGGTTGGGAGATTCCAGAACAGCATGGAGGGAAAGAAAATCAGGGTCTGCTGTGGGAGGGGGGAAAATAGCAATCATCCCCCTCTTCCACCAGTGGAAGTGCTATTCTGCTAGTGTACGTGTGTGATCATGGGAGGCATGTGTTATGCCTCCTTGCCTTTTGAAACATTTAACAACACAGGCTAAAATGAGTGATTGGCAGGACTTCCAGGGAGTGGATCACCAGAGAAGGAATGGATGTAGCAAAGGAGGTAGCCTGCCTCTGAGGAGCGACCCTTGTATTCCTTGGTGATCTCCCATCCAAATACTGACCAGGGCTGACTGTTTAGCTTCCGAGATACGAGGTTGGGCTAGCTTGGGCTATCCTGATCAGAGCAAGGAATCTGTAGGTCTTGATTTTTGCCTTCATTTCTTGGACTGGACCACCTAGAGGACTTCACCATACCAAGAACCTCTATTCGCAGAGCCTAGAGATCAGTTACTGAGGCGGTCATGCACAGAGTTTTGTAAGAGTGTAGAAGAGCTAGTTAATGACATTTATCTATATATCTAATTCTCAACAGTCCCCTCTGTGTGTGGATACTTATTTCCACAGATAGGGGGCACACTCTCCCCCAACAGGTTTTTCTGCAGACTTGGGACTCCGTGGGTCTGCAGAAAAATCTAAAAAGTTTAAAAAAACGTGAGGAGGGTTGAATCCCTCCCCCACAATACCTTTTGAAATGGCTGCCACAGGGATCTACTCCAGGCCCTGCCTCATCAACAGTGAGAGATAGTCAGAGAGAGAAAGACAGAGAGAGATGATGAGTGGAGGAAGAGGGCAGGAAGCAAAAGCAGAACTGGACCAGGGATTGGGGAAGATTCCTCCTACAGAATGTATGGCTATATAGCAGGGGGTTTGGAGCCAGGTCTGGGACTAGGATTGCCCACTCCAGGTTGAGAAATTCTTGGAGATTCTATGGGGAAGTCTGAGGAGTGCAGAGTTTGGGGAGGGGAGAGGCCTCAGCTGGATATAATGCCACAGAGTCCACCCATGTTCTCCAGGGGGACAGATTTCTGCTGTCTGGAGTTCAGTTGTAATTCTGGTTCCACCTAGAGGCTGACAAACCTAGGCCCAGCAGCACCCTTTGGGTGACTTGATGCCACCTGACTCGCATTATTCAATTAGGCCTGGCTGCTTGCTACTGTTCAACAGCAGCCCCTGCGCTCCTTTTTTCTAGAGTTGCGCCACAGCAGCGGCGCGATCTTTCCATTATATTCTATGGGGCCATAGAATATAAGGCGCGACTCCACAGAGAAGGGGCTTAAACTTTAAACCCCTTCTCTATGGAGTCGCGCCGCAGCAGTGGCGCGATCTTTCCATTATATTCTATACCCCATAGAATATAATGGAAAGATTGTGCCGCCGCTGCAGCGTGACTCCAGGTCTGTGGAGAGGGTGGGGCCCCTCTAGGAGCCTTCCTCAGCTCGCCTGCTTGGCCGGGTGAGCTGAGGAAGGCATGGGGAGGCATTTAAATGTCTCCCCAGCCCTTCCTGGCTCTCTCCCGTCAGGCAGTTGAGCCAGGAAGGGGGGGGCAGGAGCAGGCCAGCTGGGGAAGCAAAAAAAAGGGGGGAGGCATCTTCAAAAGCCTCCCCTCCCCTTCCCGAGCTGGCCT